GTGCATTTGGAAAAAAATTCTATAGATATGCTTTGGGAGCTAGCCCAGTGCCCATCGACATATTCACTAACTGCTCCAACTAATATTGTGTTTTTTCTCTTTACAGGCCGTTGCGTTCTTCAAATATTTGCAAGATCGTATACCATCGAATAAGTTAAAGCAGCTGTTCACTGTAGGGGCCGTTGGCTTCGCCGGATTAGTTTTTCTGACTGTTGTGGGCCTCACGTATGCTGGAGTAATCGCACCATGGAGTGGACGGTGAGTGCCGATCTCCATTATCACTTTATACGTGGACTTTCAATCGATGTTACATTTTCGTGAAAGTTAGTGTTTTCCCACTGTTCAACTTCACCTAGGCGCATCGCACAATTGTTGATTTTCAAGGGTTCCGTACTTCAGCCATACTTATGAGCGACACCTTAGGTTTCTCTCAGAATACTACGTTGGTTGTTATCTTCATAGGTATACATTCAGTCGGCTGCAAGGACACGCTATGACTCATTTCTTGCACTTTTTCCGATAAACTTTTTGTTCGAGTGAGTCCTTTTTGATGCAGAACGATATCAGAGTTAACAATATTTCGATGACCAGTTTACTTCCACTGCCAGCTGTTTGTCGTTTTTTTCGGCGCGATTGCGTGGCATTGTTTTGAATTGTGGTTTTTTGTCTCATTATTTAAAAATGAGGAGATCTAGTTCCAGATCAGCCTTCTACCACTGGAGCAATCTCACAGTTAAACAATGGTTGCCTCACTTCATTGATTAGGACTTTACATAGGTACGCGACTCGTGGCTGTATAAGTGGTAGGAACTGGTGTGGTCATTAGGTACAGTCCCACTAATCAGTACTAGGTGAATACCACTGAGCCGTCATATTCCAGCCCATAGATTCAGTTTCAGTTCATCTCACGGTGTCAACTACAAACCATACAGCATGGGTAGTTTCGTGCCGTCTACTACAGTTACCACCATCAAAAGACGGAAAAGTAGGAGAGGTATAGCCAGGCATGGGAAGGGTGGATATAACGAGTTAGTTGCTGTCGGATCGTTCCAGTTGTCCCAAAATAGGGGAACCGCATGCACTGAGATAGTGGATTTGATAGGAAACTAATGTAGTTTACCAATGAAGGTTTTCGGTTTTGAGTTGGCGGGATTTTCGCTTGGTTTAGTTGTTGCGCGTTGTGCTCATTGTGCTGGATTTTATTTTATCGGATTCTATCTAGTAGGATTCGGTTTTGTCTTCTTCATGTATATATCTGCAAATGGTTTAACATAACAATGAGGATTTCCAAGTCTTGAGCCTGCAATGGTGCCACGAGTGGCCTTTCGTGACTAAGTAACAGGTAGGCGTGCGTTTATGCCCAAGGTACAGATCACCAGAGGACATTTCGCATTTCATCACTGTCATTGAAAGCAATGGATCTGTTTTACATACTGTTGCTTGACTGTCATACCTTCTGAATTTATTGTGGGTATGACGCACTTGGATGGACAACCATGGGCCACCGGTTTGGACTTATAACTTCCCCATCTTGTTACCATCCGGTCTTATAACATCGGGTTGACACCAGGCATGTGACGCACCGTTGGTTGCGTGTTCCTATGGTTCGTTTTTCAGCCGTTCCGTACGAGCTGGTACAGTTATCTTGGGTACCGTGGACAACCGACAGGAAAGCGGTGAGGAACCTCTTCAAATTTTCTGCTGTTTTTGTTCTCACTCGAGATAATTTAGTGTTCAAACACTAACTCACTGATCGAATTTGCTATCGAACCCAACCACGGCGTTTAGGCTGCTCCCTTATAGGCTTGGGGAACCTCACGGCATCTCAGCCGTCATGATTCCTTCGGGTGGCATGGCATCTAGGAATCGAAAGGGTGTTTACAGCTGAACGGTCATACCGCATTGTTCTTACTGCTTGCCGCATTATTCCTGATCGTGGGTAGTGAGGGTGTGGAGTATCTAGACTCCTCAACTATCTGTTTCTTCTTGTTTACTCTTTAAGTCATTTGCCCGTCATTACCGAAAATCCTGTAAAGCGCGGTGCTACAGCGGTAGTCTCTTGATGGTGGGTCCAGCTTTGCCACTGCAGCAGGCGATTTTGTCCACAGCAGTACACTAATGTCCAGTCCATGTCCCATTTTGGGTTTACGACACTTGATGACCCGTTCTGCCAGTGCGATGCTTTCAACACTTTTGTGCAAACATGATCACCGAGCCGGCAGTGCGATCGGTGTCTATGAGACTTCATACGAATACATTCTTCGAATGCTTTCTCACGATGCTGTAATTTTTGTGGTTGAAGGCTATATACTTGAACTTCAGTTAAGTAACCGCCCTCCTGAATTAGGAGGGGTGGTACGTACTTGGACAAAACTAGTTTAGACGTGGTAGTGTCGTTTTTGTTGAAACCTATGGAGATCAGAACATGTATCCATAAACCTGACTCGTGTGACACTGAATTGGTCTCACGGAGCAGGTTGGGGTCAGACAACGTTGTAACCCTGAACGCGTCGTCAGTTAATCACGTTTGCTTGGTTATAGGGCTAACAATGTAATGTGAAAGCTGGGCGTGTTGATTAGTCTTTTGACATGCAAAGCTGTTGTGGAACGTGAAGCGCCGATCCACGTAACAGAGAAACCAGGGTTCGAAACCACAACGTGTACTTTACGTGAAATATCACGTAGGTCTTGACGATAGCAATGAATTTAGTGGATGAAAAGTTTCCAAGCCACCAGTTCTATCATAATACCTCCACCCAGGTTTTTTTGAAAGTACTTTGGCTTACACGAGTAAGGTTTGATATATGACTGGCCAAAATCTGTCGCGACAACCAATTTGGGAGGAGAGAGATGAATAACCGAATTTCTTTAAATCTGGCTGTTCGGATAGTTTCTTATTCATCAGATGGTCTTCCCGTTATGACCGACAATCTTGCCCATCTAACTCATTTGTCTCAAAACTAGCTGTAACATGATCGGTCCGCCGAAACAGTCGATTCATTTTGATTTTTGGCATCATTCACGTGGCGTCGTGGAGGCCTAGAAGGAGAAAAGATCCATAAATTACTGTAAAGCTTCCTGAAATCAGTGACCAAGGTTCTGCCAACCGGTCCTGGTCAGCGTCTGTCTATGAGCGTTTGTCTTTCGAAATTCTAGGCGTAGGATATTTGTGGACATATTTGCTTGTGGTTGAGGGGATATCTTAGCAATGACAACCAGATATACATGGTTTCATTGAATACCAGGGTCGGTTTCGCTTCCAATCCGTTTGTTGTGTGTATGAGTTACAGCATTTTGGTATACCGAATCTAAGTGGACAATCGCCAGTGACCACCTGATCCTGTCAATTATGATGAAACTACTCTGTGTCATCCACCCTTCGGTTTCACTTCTTCGGACATTTTTTATCGGAACGAGCCACAGAATTGTCAATGCAGTTGTTTGTTCCCAGCAGCGGCGCCCCAGCATCTGCTTTACAAGCGAGCTCCATAAAAGACATTGCTCATGACGTGAGGAGAATATTCACAGCTATGTACAAAGCTGATGACTCTGTACATGGTTCTTTTGAGCTTATGTACACAAACCGCTGGATTTCAGGTCACTCCCGCCTCTTATTTCGAAATCAACCCTGTTGGCCCAGCCTATTTCGGTGTAATTCTGTCTGTTTGACGTTAGCGTGGACGAAGCCTGTGTATGGAGGCGTAGTGCAACCAGAAATCGAAAGAACTAATACAGGCCTAGCAGTCGCCAATGCATGCAGTTCGCAAAAGAGTATCATCGTACACAATACTGTACACTTACTGTCAGACGGCTGTTAGAGCATTTCCAACAACTTAGTTGGATATTTGTCTCATTACTTAGTCAGAAATAGGTGTGCAAGCAGGTACTTGGTAGTGAATCCGATTCGTTAGACCAGCAGATTAAACTTACTAGGTTGAGGTGGTTGAATGATGTGTTACGTATGCGAAACCACCATTTACTGAAGGAAGCGTTCTTTTCTGTTCCCAGCGATCGTGTGCGCAAGGTTCGCCGGGGGCAGTGCGTGGCATGGAAACGTTAACTGAAGGCGGCTACGGTCAACCTCAGTTTGGGATCTTGGCAACTTATTGGCTGGGCCCACGGATCCTACTTGCAGGTGGTTAGAAATCTTGCAGGACATGATACGCAACCGATTCCAGTGGGCTCATGCTGTTACTTCCTGACCGGACTGCTTAACTAATGTCCGTTTGTCGTTTTGCGCTGGGATTAGGTTGAGTGCGGTTTGTAACGGACGTTGGGTTGATCCCGGTGATAATGCGTTACTCCGAAGTGATGCTCACATTTGTGTATTTTGATGCTCTCTGACGATGCAGGTTCCTTATCCTTGGTCATTTTTCCTGAGGACAAGATTCCTTTTCAACTTCCACTTACTTTCTACTCTACTGAGGCTTCCTCTCATGGTTGTATGGCAGTTAAGCACCTGTCGTTAATGTTGATGGTGCTTTAACTTATTTGGGAGCAAGAATAAGAGTAGGAAATTGAGGTTATTCATTTAATGCGCCTTCGTTTCATGAGGTTACCAGAGGCAGAGGTTACCACGCAGAGGTATGAAACTGGATTAGTGCAACCACTATGTTCTCTAGCACTGTGGCTCTGGCACTTAAAAAGAGATTCGAGGGAAACTAGCAGGAATTCGAACTGGCGCGGAGTTTAATAGGTACGCTTTTACGCCAAGAGCGCGTAGGCACTGCCATGCTTAGCATCGTAAGTCGATCGCAGTTTTCTTTGATTTCAAACGCAATCCATATTTTACGAAAGGAGTTTGTTTCTGAAGTGCCTAAATATGCTTCATGTCAATAATTTCAACGCTTTTGGTCGTGTAAGAGTTCGCAATAAATTGTCCGAAATTCCTCGGTCTGACGTGGCTGCTCAAGTTCATCATCGATGTCACCATAGAATACACCTCAAGGGATGGAAAATCCAGGACTCAAAGTTGCACTCTGTGCTTGGACTAGGCGTTGCTTCGTGGTAATCAATCCAAACAGCCCATCATAAAAAGAATTTAGGAGGTCGTTCCTTCAAAATTCATATCATCCCTCCTCACATAGCGTGAAACTTCATTTTCGAGAGTGTTTGGGTTAGTTCTGCTTGTGTACCTTGGCAGCAGCGACTCAACTGCACCACAGCACGTGCAGCTAACATTTGAAGCCTACTTCGATCAACACGTACTGGATTTGTTTGTGCCGAGCGTAGTATTGCTTGTCGATGTCAGCCGTTAGCCAACAAAAACTGACTCTCCGTCTTTTGAAGTGAACGAATTGGTGGTGTGCCAGTTGACGTATCGGGTGCAATACGATTTGTGAGGCTAGTACTTCTGAACTCCGAGGTACCTTCAGAATAATCTGCGATGATAACTTCTCCCGGAATCGTCCGCATTCGGTTTGAAATGTATTTACCTATGCATGTCCGTGGGTTTATGGACGCGGTGCAAACTATATCAAAGTACTCACATGCGGCCAGGGTCATCTTATGGAACAACACTTTAATGTTGTTAACGGTAGGATTTTTCGACATCGTGCCAGTGGTGTTTTGCCTCAACTCACTTTTACTGTTTCACTCCACCGAAGTGCTTCCAAAAGGCCATTCCGCCAATGATCTTGTAGCACGATCTCTTACCTCCCAGAAATTTTGCAGTTTGTGTCCGCTTGTGCACAATGTGTTATCGTAATTTGTTCACGTCTCTAGATCCAGAGTATCCCGTTTCCATTTCCAGGTATCAAACATGAGCATAGTTCACTGGATGTACACATTCCTCAGTCCAGAGCGGATTCTTAAGTCTTTTTTTAATGACATTCTGCCGAGAGTCACCTTGTCTTCTAGTTCTCAACACAATCAGCTATTTTAACTAGAAATATAATAAGCACGGTTATGGTTTCGGTCTGAGTGTAACGATTCGCTCACTGGTATTCTTCAACCCCCCATTCACTCTTTACGCAATAAACGGGGCGAACGGCCTCGTACTTTTGACTTGCCCCATGATGTTGTGGTCACGATTAGTGACAGTGTCGTGATTATACTGCAGCCCTCTGATAACAAGCAAATGGGTTCTTAACGAAGTGTGTATTTGTGCTCTAGGGATGAATGAAAACAACTTAGAAGTTTGAAATTACAAGTGATACGACTCGGGCATATGTGCACTCGGTAAGATCATGGCGATTAACCTCGTTAGGCTGGTACAAATGAAATTCAAGGAGCGAAGATCGCAGGGACAGGAAACCTTTAATCTCCAGTTGTCCAAGACTCGGATCGGGGGCTGCTTGTTCAGTTTTATTGGTGACTTCGCGTTCCTTGTGCCTTCTTAATATGCAGGTATGATCTGCGTAGTTCACTATACTTGATCACCACACGGGGTTTCGCGCCATTTGGTTCTTTTTTCCTCAGTAATTTACTACTTGACAAGTAAAGATTTCTTTCTGAGGCTGAACATTAAGAGCAACATACTTTCACCTTGTACTAGAAGCACATTGGAACAGTGCCTTACGGTTGCGGACTGTTCATTCGCTTACTAGTCAATGACACCTAACCTCTTGTGCGTGTACGGCAACATGTGGAACATGTTGCCAGAAATAAGGTCTTGCTCTTCATGCCCCTTACCTTGTTTATTGGTGTTTCGCCCGGTGTGACCTAACCGTCATCTTCTAGGGGCAATATTTATCTAGAACAGTAAACACTACTCGTGCACTTTAAAGGACGAGAAGAAAATTCCCCTGATTATGCATGGTTTTATAAGGTGACTGAATACAACAAATATTCGTCATAGATATGTAACCACTGCACTCGACTTTCCTCGTCGGAGGACTGTTTAAAAAGCTCTTTCAACCTTTGTCGATCTCCCGAACTCCTCATATAGGACTCTTATGTGAGAACACTTCCACTTCAGTTCCCGGGTATTTCTGGGTTTCCTCAGAAGCACTCTCCATGGAAAAATCCGGAGGGGGAACTGATTAAGAAGTCGTGGACCCATAAAACAGCCACGGAAACTCTACCGATGTGTGAATACTTTGCCTAATATTTCAGAAATGCATTAAGATCTGTGAACTCGCATTCCACCATGCAGCAGCAATATACAGTACCACTTGTAAAATTTTATTCCTAACTTTTGGGCGAGACGCTCTGATGGCAGATAAGTTTGAGCTCCTTCAATACATGATGCAAATTGTATCGCACTCTTACCTATGACGCTTTCCTCGAAAATGTGTGGTCCTGACGCGGTTGATATCAAATTTTATAAGCAAGACTTTAAGGGACAATTCTGCTTGCAAGTCAGTTACCGAGCTCTTCACTCCTTAATTATCGGTTATTCAGCTTCTGAACACTTCTTCGAACGGACTAAGTTTACTATTCTCTGTACCAATGTGTGGATATTTGTCTTCCACATGTAAGTCCCTGCACATTTGGTACTTCACAACGTTTTACAATCCACACAATTTCGACGGGCTGTAAACAGGTAGTTTTGAACTTCCGGGACGATTTATCTTAGGTGTTTTGTCTCGGAACTTTCTAGTGAATCTTCCGGTTGTTGGTCCGGTAATCAGGATTCGGTTGGGTGGTTGGTGCTGAGTACATGGGCTGTCTGGACTAGCATTTTCTTCAGTCTGGCAGGAAAACACCGCGAAACACGATCCTGTCCTCGGTCAGTCGGCTGGCAGCTGATTCACTCGCCGTTAACAAGCCTGTGACACAGCGGAATCTACTTCTGTTGGCTCTAGTCACACTCATTGGTCGGCGCAATTTTCACCGCTAATCCTTGTGCACAATGTCTTTGGTCACCTGCTATCAGGAGCACAGTTAACTCCAGTGAGACCAATCAATGACTCACCACTACCATCACCAGCTTCAGTTTGATTTGACTGGGTGGCTTACTGTTGATGTCAGAAGTAATAGAGTCAGCTCATGGCAGTGGATAAGATGATGCTGGATTCAGCACAAGATCATTTAACTCGAGGATGTCCAAGTAGTGTTAGTCTGACTGTTTTGATCTTAATTTCCTGGATCTCAACTTGTTGTGGATACTAATTGTTGATTGCCTGAATGTGTTGACCAGGGGCTAGTAAGCGTTTTCAAAAAACTACTCCCTACTTCAGTGACCAACTCTATGGCTGTGTGGGATAGGATATGACTCAGCAACGTAAAATGAAGATAGCTATTGTTAGACTGTTCACGCCGTTCTGAATGCTCATAGTTCCCCGTTCATGCGGTTAGGACCCCTACAGAATGTGCCATGTGACCAGTCTCAGTAGCAAGCATGCCGTCACTTCCTAGTCGCGCTACCCAGCAAAAGTTGGTCTGTTTTTATATGCTCAACTCATGTTGGATGAAGTTCGCAAATAATTTTGGATCAATCCTACTGGTATGGTTCTTGTTTTTCTGTTAGGACATAAGGCTGTCTGTACCAGGTTCCTATCCTTCCCTTTTCTTTCAGCCATTCACTAGGGTACCCTTCATGGTTGTTTGATACTCAAGTATTAGTATCTACTGATATTGTATTGCTCTCGATAGTGATTGGCTCTCAAATGACTCAACTTCATTCGTCGATTCAGATTCTATTCTTTGTGGGATACAACCTATGCGAAGATACACATCCCGATCATCACATCCGTGTCCGAACATCAACCGACGTCTTGGTGTTCATTTTTCTTTGACATGCACATATTGCTGCTCGCATTTCCAGCCGGGGTATGGCTTTGCTTCCAGGATACAACGAACGAACGAGTTTTTGTCATTCTCTACGCCATGTTTGCATCCTACTTCGCTGGTGTCATGGTTCGACTCATTCTCACCTTAACGCCAATTGTTTGTGTCTTCGCTGGCATTTCATTCTCACGAATTTTCGAAATACTCCTGGATGAGGATGAGAGTTCAACTGGCACACGATCTCCAACTGAAGCAAAGATTGCACGCACTGAGAAGCATTTGTACGATAAACCCAGCAAGACCATCCGCCAGGTAAGTTTTTCACTCTCTTGCCTTCTGGATTAGCCTCTCTGGGGATATGTATCAACTCACACACTCCACTAAGTTCAGGTCCACGTCTATCCCAAACCTTACTGAACATGCTTATCGTACTGTGTTTAGAACTCAGTATGGAACGAGGGCGTAGCTTAAACCAGTGCAGAGGAAGGAAAGACTGTAGCATAACGAATTCTGCGATGACAAAAACAGCCGGATTAACTGTGCAGTTATTCTCCATTTGTGGCGCCGTTTATATATATATATATATATATATATATATATATACAATTCACACGTAAACATACATCTCATG